TACAGTTTTGGTAAATCCATTCCGTTATGCATGAATAGGTAGGAATTAGCGTTTTGATCTAATCCATCTCTAATATGCCACCGTCCCATACCGGTGCATATAATCCTCAAAATCCATAAATGATGTAACATCCAAAGTACTACATGAAATAAATAAACAAATCCAATAATTGATGCAATAAATGATAAATTTAAACATCAATTAAGTAGTTCATCAATTATACTCCAAAATAAGCATAAATAAAGTCTAATATGTATATAACCATATTATGCATCCAATACAAGATTTAAAAATCATTTTCCAGTCATTTAAATTGCTAAAATAAGACTAAGCAATTAAATATTTTATATTTGTTAACAGCATGCAAAATTTTTTAAGCTTTCATACTGTTCAATCCATTAGTATATAGACATTAATTATACAATATGGGGTTTTAATACAACATGAAATAATATTCAGAATCCTGCATATTAACCCAAAATAGTTCGGGAACCCCAAAACATCCAAACAGTGCCTAAAACCCCTTCCAGTACACATTAAAGCAAGAGAGCTTGCTCTCAAAAGTGGAGAGCAAGCTCCCACACAAAGGGAGCCGGCTCCCTTACCCTTGCCTCAGGGAGCCGGCTCCCTCAAACGATGGAGCCGGCTCTCTCTCTTAGAGAGAGCCATGGCCAAAAAAAAAAATAGGGAACCGACTCTATCCCTGCTTCATGTCGTCGTCTTCGTCTCCGACGATGTTAAAATCCCTATGAAATCTTTAGTTTAAGTTCCTAGAGGTCCAACTATATCCTATAACCTCCAAAATAACATGTAAACTCAGTATACATCGTTACAAGATTTTAAACAGAATACGAAATAATTTATATGACAATTCAATTTCAATTAAATCAACACATAAAACAGTTTAAAGTCTGAATTAACATGTATAAAATATCAATTTTTAAAGCTTGATGTAATCCTAGAGATTATCTAGGCATGTACAGAACACAGGTTAAATGGAAAGAGCAAGAAATAGAACTTGCCTCTGATTTCAGTTTTGAAACCTTAAAGTCGTCTTCTTAACTTTTTCGACAATCCTTCACTGCCCTAACTCCTTTGTTGCGCCTTGGTTCAAACCATGAGCAACACCCCTTCGTTCTCTCCTTGGCTTAGCCTTAGCCTTAGCCAAACCCTAAGTTTCCCTTTCTCTATTTTCTCTCAGACCTCTTTGTATCTCGTCCCCTCCACTGTTATGTGATTAGGGTTCTAAAACCCTTGGCAGACTTATACAAGTATATTTATAGGCCAATAACTTTACCCTAATTCTAATCATATTAAGAGACGGAAAAACTAAAATAAAAATAGAACTAGACGGCTATATCCCACAACGAGATTACCTAAAAGAATATAGAACCCTAATTTAACATTATTAAAATTTAAAATTAAATTAACCTTATAACCTAATTAAACAATTAATGAAAACAAATAATCCACATAAGCATACATTAATAAAACAAATAATGCAATTAAATACTTAAACAATTACACAAATAGGCAAATAATCAAATAAGTAAATAAAAATGAAATAAAATGATTAATTAAAATACCGAGACTATCCCTTTATAATTAGGGGTATTACATTCTTCCCCCCTAACAAAAGGAATTCTGTCCTCGGAATTCGCTCTTACCTTCTCCTATAATTACAGGAAACTGCGGTCGAATGACATCCTCTCGTTCTTAAGTAGACTCAGCCTCATTGTGGTGACTCCACTGAACATGCACTAAAGGAATAACTTTATTACGAAGAATCTGATCCCCACGATCGACTAAACGACATGGTGGCTCCAAATATGTTGCATCCGGTTATAGCTCTATCTCCCCAACATCGATATGCTGGTAGCGATCCTCGTCTCACAGAAATTTTCGTAACATGGAAACATAAAACATATTGTGCACACGATCCAAATGATCTAGAAGTGCCAACCGATAAGCTACAGCTCCAACTTGATCTGTAATCATGAATGGACTAACAAACCGTGGTGACAACTCCCCTTTCTTTGCAAAGCGCATTACCCCTTTCATAGCAGACACTTTGAGCAGAACCTGATCCCTAACCTGAAACTCTAATGTACGAGTACGACTATTTGTATAACTCTTCTGCCTACTCTGAGTAGTACGCATGCGATCCAAAATAAGAGCAATCTTCTTAGAAGTATCCTTGATGAACTCAGGACCCAAAAATCTGCTCTCTCCAACCTCCATCCAACAAACAGGAGATTGACATGGTCGGTCGTATAATGCCTCAAATGATGCCATACCAATAGTTTTCTGGAAGCTATTATTATACGCAAACTCCACAAGTGGTAAATAATCCTCCTAGTGGCCTTTGAAGTCAAAGACACCAGAGCGAAACATATCCTCTATGATCTGATTAACCCTCTCGGTCTATCCATCAGTCTGAGGATGATAAGCAGTCCTAAGATGTAACTTTATACCCAAAGCCTGTTGAAAACTCTTCCAAAATCCTAACACAAAGCTCGAATCCCTATCCGATATAATAGACAACGGAATGTCATGTAACTTCACAATCTCTGTAATGTAAAGTCTCGCCAACTTCTCCAAAGTGAAGTCAGTGCAAATAGGCAAGAAATAAGCTGATTTAATCAATCTATCAACGATGACCCAAATAGAATTGTGATCCTTAAATGAATTAGGCAATCCTTTCACAAAATCAATAAAAATACTCTCCTATTTTCACTCCGGTATAAGTAGTGGCTGTAGAGCTCCTGGCGGCCTCTGATGATCAATCTTGACCATCTGACAAGTACTACACTAAGAGGCAAAAATAGCAATGTCCTTTTTCATACCTGCCTACCAAAATTGCCGCTTCATATCCAGATACATTTTGTCTCCTCTTGGATGAACAGAAAACTCTGAATGATGAGTCTCAGTCATCATATCCTTCCTCAAATCGTCAGCAAAAGGTAATATTAAATGCCCCTTGTACATCAAACCTCCATCAGTCCAAACATAGTAAAATGGAACCTCCCTAGAAGCTATCTCTGCAACTTTGTTAATGTACTACTGACCCGTGAGTTGTGCCTTCAAGACCTTGTGAATGATAGAAGGTGTAACTATCATGCAAGCCATAAAAAGCATTAGACAACTCATCAACTGTCTTTAAAGCATTCCACTCAGTGGTGAATGAAGCAGAAAGACTCGCATAAAGTCAACAACTGAGTGTATCTACCACTTTATTTGATTTCCCTAGATGGTACTGTATTGAGAAATGATAGTCTTTCACAAACTCCAACCATCGGTGCTGTGTCATATTCAGCTCCCGCTGAGTGAACAAATACTGTAAACTCTTATGATCACCAAATAATCTGAAGGATTCTCCCAACAAATAATGCCTCCAAATACATAAGGCAAAGACCACAGTTGCCAACTCCAAATTAGGTGTTGGATAATTAAGCTCATGAGGCTTAAGTTTATGAGATCCATATGAAGTTGGTCGTTCCTCCTGCATCAAAACACACCTTAGACCTTGTAAAGAAGCATCTATGTAGACAAGATACTATATCTCGCTCTGTGGAGTAGACAGAACTGGTGCAAAAGTTAACTTATGCTTTAACTCCTTAAAACCTTTCTGATAGTGTTCATCCCATACGAATCGTACACCCTTCTTAGTTAAGTGAGTGAGTGGTCCTGCTATCTTTGAGAACCCTTGGATGCACCTACGATAATATCCTGCCAAACCGAGGAAACTCTGAATCTCAGTAGGTGAAGTAAGTTGTCCCCACTTGACCACTGCTGAAACCTTGGCACCGCTATTCCCCTTTCTGACACCATGTGACCTAGAAACTTCACTTCCCGCTGCAAAAATTCACATTTCCTGAACTTAACATATAACTGGTGTTCACAAAGCATTTGTAACAATGTACGAAGATGTTTAGCATGATTGTCCTCTGACTTAGAATAAATCAAAATGTCATCAATGAAGACGATAACAAATTGATCTAAGTAAGCCCTGAATACTTTATTCATCAAATCCATAAAGACTGCTGGTGCATTAGTCAATCCGAAAGGCATGACACGAAACTCATAAGAACCATATCTAGTGAGAAACGCTGTCCTAGGAACATCCTGCTCTCCAACCCGAAGTTGATGATATCCAAAATGCATATCAATCTTAGAGAAGTATGTAGCTCCTTTCAACTGATAAAAAAGGATCATCAATTCTGGGTGAAGGGTACTTGTTCCAATGATGACCTTGTTCGCCTCCCTAAAATCTATACACAGACGAAGTAAACTATCCTTCTTCTTCAAAAACACTACTGGTGCTCCCCTAGGTGAAGTACTCCTAAGAATAAAACCCTGACTGAGCAATTGCTGAATCTGATCCCTCAGCTCTCGCATCTCCACTGGTGCCATCCTATATGGTGCTTTATGATAAACGCTGAATATTGTATATTTAAGTGCCCCTATTTGCATTACTTAACTCCATTAGTTGATTATACTATATATATTAGCTTTATTTGCATACTTTTGTCTATTTTTAGGTTGGTTCCCCAAAGAGAGTTAAAAATGACGCTTTGATAAGTTTTTGAAGATCAAAGAATGCCATTGCCGGGGACCGTCATTTTGGCCAAGTTAATGATCCGTGGAACTCATGATAATTTATGCAAAAAGTTCTAGGAAGAAGAATCACATCAATGGTTCGCGCCAAGAACAGTCATGAGCAAAATTTCAGAGCATATGCTTTTCGCAGGACTCGAAGTTTGAAATTTATTATTTTATTATTACCCTTTTCTCTCTCATTTGAAGCGATTTTTCTTGTGACTAGGGTTATGGTTGAGGGGGCAAGTTCACTATGGAGGAGGGTCAGTCCTCCTCCCCCTTGATGCCAGCAAGTTCTCAAGGCTAGATCCCTACCCCAAACAAACCTAAATACAGCAGTTTTTTTTGATGACTCTCAAGCCACGTTCAAGAATTTACAGTACCATCTAGAATGTCGAGGAATGAAAGTATCTATCAAGGAAGAAGATGTGGTTAATGAAATAGCTTTTTGGAAATCCTCTGTCGTGGGATACGTGATGGGTAAGAAGCCTTACTACCCTTATTTTAAAGCTTTTGTGGCGAAGTATTGGGCCAAAGATTTCACTTTGGTTTACCTTAAAGATGGATTCTTCATGGTCAGATTTAAGAATGGGGAAGATGTTTCAAAGGTGCTATCCCAAATACACACCTTCGAGGGAAGACCTGTCATTATGAAGAGATGGAATAAGAATGTCAATCTACAAAAGGAAATTCTTGAAACGGTTCCAGTGTGGCTGCGCATACATGATTTACCAGTGCACTGTCATAATGAAAAATCGGTGTCCAAGGTTTGCTCTTCGTTTTCTAAACCCATTTACATAGATAAACCGGAGACTCATACGGATAAAGGAATTTTTGTTAGGGTTATGGTCGAAGTCGAAGTCACAGAAGACTCCATGGCAATAGATATACATGGTGTAGATTGTCATGTTGAGTTTGAATATGAATGGAAACCGGTGGTGTGTAAGTTGTGTCAACGAGTTGATCATATTGAAAATCGATGTCCACTGAAGATCACCCAACTTCAGCAAAAGCCTAAGAAATCTACGGAGCAGTGGGTGGTTAAGAAGAAAGGAAAGTTGGTCGAAATTGACAATGCTAATAAGGTTGTTGATGTTTTGTCACAAAGAGATGTTCAGACTGAAAAAGGGGTGGCAACGTCCAATGCATTTGCTATTCTTGAAGTCAAGGAGGATATTCCTACTGATAATGTAGTTTCAGATGAAGCTGTTTGTTTGGGAGATCCTAAAGAACGTTCATTTACTGAGATAATTGGAGAAGTGAGAGTTGATAATGAGGTTGTTCTTGACAGTCCCACAGGTATTGAATTTGAATGTTCCAGAGTTGAAGAAACAGCAGCTCCTCTTATTGGAGAAGTTGTGGAAAAATAGTTTTATAAGGAAGATATGGATGAAAGCAATAGTCTAGAGACTGATGCACAGGCTCTATTATATTCAACTGAAGAAGATAGTCAAGGAAGAATATAGAACTCTAGACAAAGAAAGAAACCTTATGTACCTCCTTCAGATAGAGTTACTCGAGGAATGCAAGGTGGCAGTGCTTTATTGCCAAAATCTCATTAATGTTAGGTGCATGGAACGTGAGAGGTCTGAATCGACCTCCCATGCAAAAGGAAGTAAAGCAGTGGATCATTGATAATAAATTCTCCTTTGCTATCCATGTTAAAACTCGAGTTAAAGAAGGTAAAGCCTCTATCATTCAGAAACGACTTTGCTCACAATGGAATTGGCTGTCTAATTACAAGTCTAGCTATTTGGGAAAAATTTGGATTGGTTGGAATAGAAATCTATTTAATGTGGATTTGGTTCATGAAGATGCTCAATATTTGATGGTTCATGTGAAACACATTGTTACTAGAAGAAGTATCTTTATCACTAAAGTGTATGCAGCTAATAGGGTTAAGGATAGAACCGAGTTACGGAATTCTTTGAACCTTCAAGCTACCAAAGCTACTGGGCCTTGGATTGCTTTAGGAGACTGGAACATGGTTAGATACAGTCATGAGCAAAAAGGTGGTTTGAGTGTTCCTCAGAGCAAACTTGATGAATTTAATAGTCTAATCTTTGATATTAGCATAGAAGACTTGCCTATTAATAATGGGGAATGGTCTTGGTACAACAAACAGATTATTCCTAAGAGGATCAATACTAAATTGTATAGAGTCCTAGTTAATTCTCAGTGATTGCAAAATTTCAATGATTCCAAGGTCACTCTTACACCAGCTTCCCTCTCTAAGAATTATGGTATGGTGGTTCAATGGTTGTTTGATTGTTCATTTGGTCCAAAACCTTTCAAGTTCCTCGAGATATGGTTTCTGCAAATAGAGGTTGAAAAGGTGGTGAGAAAAGCATGGGATTGTAATGTTCCTGGAAACCCAATCCATGTACTTCAGAAAAAACTCAGAGCTGTAAAGGAAGCTGTCAAAATTTGGAATAAAGAAAAGGGCTATACTTCAGACCAAATTAAATCTGCTGTAAGGCAAAGAAGAGGGCTTGATGAAATTTGGAACAAAGAAAAGGGCTTGATGAAATTGTTTGGGCTCAGAAATCTAGACTCAAATGGTTACAAGAAGGAGACCAATGTATGAAGTTCTTCCATAATGCTATAAGGCAAAGAAGATGTGCAAATTCTATTACTCAATTACAAAATTCAGTAGGCGAGGTTTCTTCTGATGCTCACAAGATTAAAGACTAGCTGGTTCAATTTTATTCTGAGCTTTTTAAATCTCAAGGAGGGTTGAATGGTGATCTCAGACTTCCTAGACAGATGTTATCTCAAGAAGATTGTGATAGTTTAGATAGGGTTATTACTGCTGAAGAAATAAAAAATGTTGTTATGCACTTTAACCCTGACAAGGCTCTTGGTCCTGATGGCTTTCTAGCTAGATTTTTCCAACGTTATTGGTAAATCATTGGTCAAGAACTTATAAATGCTGTTTGCCATTTTTTTAATTCTGGAAATATGCCTCAAGGTATTAATTCTACATTTCTTACTCTCATACCTAAGCCTAATCATGGAGATAAAATTGCAAATTACAGGCCTCTAGCCTTATGCAATTTAGTGTATAAAGTCATTTATAAGGTCTTAGCAAATAGATTGAGTTTGGTGCTTCCAACCTTGATTGGCCCTGAACAATCAGCTTTCATTAAGACTAGATGGTTACATGATAACATTTTGTTAGTTTCTGATTTGATTAAGGGATTTGGGAAACAACACATTAATCCATCAATGGCTTTGAAGGTTGATTTGAAAAAAGCCTATGATTCTGTGGAATGGGGCTTTATTTAATGGATTTTGTAAGGTCATGGGTTTAGTGATAGATGGATAAAGTGGATTTTTACTTGTATTTCATCTCCAAGGTTTTCTATTCTTTGCAATGGGGTTCCAGCTGGGTATTTTTCTGCTTCTAGAGGCATCAGACAAGGCTGTCCTCTTTCAGCTCTGTTGTTTTATTTTATTACTGAATATTTTAGTACTTTAATGGAGTAAGCTATTGTAGAGGGGAAGATCAAATTACACAAAGCAGTGGCAGTGACAGACCTGAAGATTTCTCATGCTTTGTATGTAGATGATTTACTAATTGTTGTCAAAGCTGACATTCCCACAGCCAAGGCAATTCTTAAAGTGTTTAAGCAGTTTCAAGAGGCTACAGGTTTACAAGTCAACACAGACAAAAGCTCAATTATATTTTCCAAAGCAGTGAGAGGCAGAAGAAGATTAACCAATATTCTGTAATTTCAGACAGAGAATTTTCCTTTTAAATATCTAGGACTGCCTTTATCTAACAAGGCTCTGAGAGCAGGTGATTTTAGAGTTCTAACAAATAAAATTAATGCTAGATTGTATCATTGGAATACAATCAATTTGTCTATTGCTAGAAGGGTTGAACTGATCAGGTTAGTTCTTTACTCCTATTTGTATCATTGGGTTTTTGGTTTCAGGATTCCTTGGGGAATTAAAGTTGGTCTTGAAAGAAGGTTTAAACAATTCTTGTGGAGTGGAAAACAAGATGTCAAGAAAACTTATCAACTAAAATGGAGTCAGGTTACTTTGCCTATTTCAAAGGGAGGGTTTAATATTAGAAAAATTCATGAGATTGATTTAGCTGCTAAAATTACTCTCTATTGGGATTTTGTACAGAACAAGGATAAAATGTGGATCAAATAGCTTCATGTTATGTACTTGCAAAACAGTTGTTTCTGGTCTGTGTTGCCAAAATGTAGTGATTCTACATTGTGGAAATAGTTGTTAGGGGTTCGACAGATTTTACTTGATAATGTGGAGTTTAAGATTGGAGATTGAATGGCTTTTAAATTCCTAACTGATCCTTGGTGTGATAATTAGTCTATTATACATAAATTTGGGGCTGCTATGCTTCGACAAATCGATAGAAATCTTATAGCAGCTGAGCTAATAAATGAGGGTAGATGGAACATTCCTGTTTCTACGTCTATTGAAGTTAAGGAGACTGTTCAAAGAATTAAAATCAATCATGGAACAGATGTCATTACTTGGAGGACTTGTCAATTCTCATTGAAAGTAGCTTGGAATGCATGCAGATTTAAAGGCCAACTTCAGAAATGGAGTGATTTAATTTGGAAGCATTATAGACCTAGAGTTGCTGTGGTGGTGTGTATAATTTTACACAACAAAAATCTATCTTTAGTTAATTTACAGAAGCGTGGGCTGGTTTTAACATCTATATGTCATAATTGTTGGAAGAGTTTGGACACAAATGATCACTTATTCTATCAATGTCCTTATGCACATGCAATTTGGTAGGAAATTTTTTGCCTCATCAATATGGATATGCCAGTTTGTGATACATTGATGCAAGTAGTTGATTGGTTCTGTTTACATTCTACTCCTAATTCTGTCAAGACAAAGATTTTGAGCGCTATTTTTGTAACTACTGTATGGAAGATATGGGCTGTTAGGAATGCTGCTCTTCATGAAGGTTGTCAAGATCAGGCTGCATTTGTTACTAAGACTATAGTTTGGGAAGTTTTGGCTTATCTCAAACTAAGTTTAGATGATTTTATACTTGTGTTTTAATTGCTTTATGGTTTTGTTTTATGTTTTTTGTTCCAATTTGTACTGGAAGTGGGCTTTTTCTAGCTCTGGAATTGTAAAGGAGGTATGCCTCCTTATGCACTTGTACTTCAATTTTTTTGTATATAAAACCATCCCATTCAGGAAAAAAAAATAAAATTTCAAAGCATGAGTTTTAAGGTGCGGGAGCCCGCCGGAAACCCACGGGCGCCCACCATTTTGGGCCAAGACTTCATGCACCCGTGGGCACCCGCCGGAAACCCGTGGGCACCCGCCCATTCGGGTAGAATCTTCGAGCTTCCACGGGCGCCCGCCAATTCGCAGACAAGTAGGCATGGTCTGCATTATTTCCTTCAAAGCTGTCCCCTTGACCCATTTTGTGTGGTGCTGCACACTCCTAGGGATTATAGACCATGAAATTGGAGTGGTTAGGAGTCTATGGTGGCATATAGAAAGGCTATGAGGGTTGTATTTTGAGATATCTCACTTTTGGAAAGGTTTTTAGATAGAGAAATATCGTAAGCTTAGGTTTGGTGAGTCTTGGAACCCTTAAGCACGAAAATGGAGAGGATGAGCATCACTTCTCCTTCCTCCACTGCTCCTATGGGTAACTAACTCCCTTTCTAGGGAGGTGATGAAGCCCTACTTTGTAAGCATGCTTTAGTTTTTAGTTTATTTTGGGGTAATGATGTATATATGTGGTTTTTCTATGATCTAGAGCACTTTATATGATGTAATGAACTTCAATGTCTATAAATGATCATTTTGAGTTAATTATCTTGTCTTAGATTGTTTCCTCTCATAATTATATTTCTTTCATTTCATAATGACAATAGAAATGAGATTGTGGAAGTGTTTGTATGGGCATGTTTTATAAGAACTTATTAGTTCATAGCTTAGGGCCTCCCTTTGATGAATTAATCTTGAATCTTGATTTCATGTGCTTTTATCATTTAATTGAGGGCTTGATAATCTCTAGCTTAGTGAGCATGTCTAAGGCTACACCCTAGTTTAGGTAGTTCAAGCATATGAAACTTTGATAGGTTATTCTTGCCTTTCGATTTCATGAATCTCTTGAAGGTAATGTAACAATTTTGTGTTGTTGCATTCCATGGTCATATTTATATGTTGTTTCCCCAAATTAATCATATTCTAGCATATTTAGAAGGTTGGTAGTGGATTTGTTTCCCTAGTCCTCTCTACCTATATTTCTTTCCTCTTTAAATTCCTTGCATTTATTGCTTTAGGCACATTTCAATTCTAGTTTAAAGTGACAAACCAAACCAACTCTTATACCCCTTTCATTAAACTAAAGGTA